GTGCCTGGTTAAAAAAAACATAACCTGAATATTTGACTTCTAAAGCAAACAAATGTAATGCTACAACTGTGCACTTTTTTTCCGAATGCACTTTGAGATGCCTCAGATTCTGTTAAATTAATGCAAATTTGTTGTGTTTTTATGCAATTTTTGACGTGCCTTTGTTAGATGAACAATGAATACAAATGGCATGTTTTTCATCGCAGTAATATGTGTTGGTTTAAAATGTGTCATTACCCGCTTTTTACAGGCCGCTGAATGTCTGGCCCAGCTGAATTTTGTAGTTATAAAATCTGGCCCAACTGAATGTGTAATTGAATAGCCCTGGCGTACGCTGTAGGCATGGAAACCAGGAAGCTCCCGTGCGTTCCGGGGCAATTAGGATCACTGACAGCCGCTCCTCCTGCACTCGGTCCAGGAACCGAGGAATCAGCGGGACTGGTGGGAAAGCGTACAGCAGTCCCCTGGGCCATGGCCGATGTGCGAACGCGTCCACCCCCAGGGGGGGGGTCCCGTGCTGACAGGGAGAACCAGAGCGCGCATTGCGCGTTCCCGCGTGCGGCGAACAGATCCACCTCCGCCCTCCCGAACCGGCTCCAAACCTGGGTGATCAGCTCGGAATGGAGGCTCCAGTCCCCCTGGCGAGGACCTCCTCTGGACATGAGGTCTGCCCCTTTGTTCAGCTCTCCTACATACAGTGCTCTGATGGAGAGCACGTGTGCGCGCGCCCAGATCAACAGCCGTCTGGCTGTGTTCAGGAGCTGCGCTGAGCGTACACCACCCTGCATGGCGATTGATGTAGGCTGCCGCGGCTCTGTTGTCTGTGCGAATCAACACATGCTGATTCCGCAGCAATGGGGCAAAATACTGAATTACTCTCCGTACGGAGATCAATTCCAGCACATTTATGTGGAAAGACATGTGAGCCGGCCACTGTCCTCCCACTGCCTGCGACATGCACGTTCCTCCCCACCCTGAGAGAGATGCGTCTGTGAACACCGAGATGTGTGACGTAACTCTGCCCAGTAGGTTAAATCTGAACCCACGGACAGAGGGATGACCACCATGCGCCTCTTCTGTCGTATGGGGTCGATGTGTAGGCTGATGAACCACCTCTGCAGTCTCCTCATGTGCAGGAGACCCAGGGGAATCACCCCGTGATCTGCTGCCATCATGCCGAGCAGCCGCATCACGGAGAGTGACGTCACCACGCTGCGGGGTGTGACGCGTCGAAGGAGAGCTGTCAGCGTCTCTACTCTCTGCCGTGAGAGTCGTGCTCTCATGCGGGCTGAGTTCAATTCCACTCCCAGGTAAACAATACTCTGGGAGGGAAGAGGCCAGCTCTTTTTCCAATTTATTATGAAACCCAGCTTTGACAGATGCGATATGAGTTGGACCGTCTGTAAAGCCGCTTCCTCCCTGGAGCGAACCAGCAGCAGCAGGTCGTCCAGGTAAAATAGTAGGCCTACTCTCATCCCTTCTCTGTGTAGCGGCTGAAATGCCGTTTCTACACACTTTGAAAAAGTGCGAGGAGCCAGGGAATAGCCGAACGGCAGACGGTTGTACTGGTACGATATTCCCTGGAATGAAAACCACAGGAATTTCCTGTGTTGCGGAATGATGGGTACATGGAAGTAAGCATCCTTTAGGTCTATAGAGGTGAACCAGTCTCCCTGGTGAACACACTCTAACACCCTTTTGACCGTCAGCATGTGAAAAGGCCTTTTCATTATTGCCTTGTTGAAAACTGACAGGTCGAGGATGGGTCTCATTCCCCCCGTCTTTTTCAGGATAAGAAAATAGCGGGAGTAATACCCCTGATTTTCTTCCTCCTGGGGAACCCTGGAAATAGCCTCTTTCAACAGGAGTTCCCGTAGCTCTGCTTGGAGCGCAAGACACTGTTCTCGGGATGACAGGCGTGTCACCTGTATCCCGTTGAACTGTGGGGGGGGGGGGGAGGCGAACTGCAGGGTGTACCCTCTGCTGATCAGCCTGTTCATCCATCTGTCCATCAGACACACGCGCTGCCACTCCGAGAAACACTCTGAGAGCACATGCTCGAGATGTGTTGTGGTCGTCATGACGACGAGCCACGCCAGAGCCCTCGCCGTCGCTGCCCGTGAGGCAACCCAAGGTGGGCCTAGAGCGAAAGGGCTGTGAGGAGGCCTCCACACGCTGCATTTCACTCCGCCTCTCATCATGAGACGCGTACACGCTCAGAGGATGAGTGGAGGTGTGTGCAGTGATATCCACATGAGGCGTTACCACGGCGCTCATGGGCTTATTGTGACCGTGTGTAGGTGGCGTATCTCGGACAGAGGAATGCCGCGAGGTCTGTGGTTTAATAACCGAAAAGTCATAACCACCAGGCCTCTGCCGCGAATCCTGCTGCCTACTAATCAACAGATTGGAGGCAGCTGGTGTAGTTAATGTGCTCCGCAGCTTATTAATCGATAGATTAAATAGCGCAGGCTTTTGTAACGAACCCTGCTGGCTATTAACCGATAGGTCATAGGCAGCTGGTTCACCCAGGGTGGGGGATATGTGAAACACATTTGTAACTGATGACTCAGACCACATGTTTGGAAATAATCTTTTTTTATTTCCCTCACACTCCCTCCCAAACCGTCAAGGCCGGCTCTGTTTTTTCGGCGGCTCTCGTGGAGCAGACGCCGAACGGGAGTACCTCACTCCCTTCTTACCCCCCTTCTCTGGTGGGGGGCCGGAGGCGCGGGACGGTGCCCCGGAGGCGCGGGACGGTGCCCCAGAGGCGCGGGACGGTGCCCCAGCCGCCGCTGACGGACGAGTCTGACGCCTCGGCTGTTGTTGCTGCGAGCATCTGTCTGTCTGCCGCCGTGGCCGGGTTGGCTGTTGCTGCTGCCGCTGGTGTCGCTGCTGCTTCACCACTGGCTGGAGCCAGCCGACGTGCTGGCGGATGTCCTCCGCTTGCTCCGAGGCCGCCTTCATGGACTCAACCATGGCCAGGAACTAGGGTCCGAACAGCCCGTCCGAGCTGATCGGAGCGTCCAGCAAAACCTTCCTGGCTGGCTCTGTAACCGCTGCTTGTTGCAACCAGAGGTGGCGCTGGATCTGAGTCATCCAGGCTGTGATCCTTGCCTGGGAGACCGCCACGGCTGCGCACAGCCACCTCTGACTCTCGCTCCGACTCCGTCTCCCCGTCTGGGGAAGAGGGGGAAGGGGAGAGCCGCATGGCGAGCCATGGAGGGAGACGGGGTAGGAGTCAGCAGCTAGAGCGTCCGCCCTTCGCTTCCTGTCGGATGATGGGAGACGAACACAATGTGAACATGCGACCTGCTGGCTGAGAGCCGCGTCCGCGTGCTCTGGCCCCAGGCAGGCTGCGCATATTGGGTGCAAATCATAGCTCATGATGTATCCCGTATTGCGCGAAGGACACATGCGGACACAATCATTGTTGCTCATGATTAGCTCTTCTTGTGCTTCAGTACTGCTTGGTTGCTGAAGAAAAGAGGGAGCAGATTGCCGGGCACCCTTCCTATTTATACCGGAAGGAGGCCCAAGGGTGGGGCCCACCTGGCGGGTGGGCGTGGACTACAAGTGTTTCAGTGCTGCGCGGGGGCGCAGAGGGATAACCCAATAGCGATAGCCTTAGAGGGCGAAGCCATATACAAAATAGAACAGGGGTTTCAGGGACGGGCAGTGATAGTCGGTCCGTTCTTCTATATGTCTGTCTTTGGTTTTCTAAGTGTTATTTGATCCATATGACAATAGAGATATGTGCATAAACGACAAAAACACTTGGGGTATAATGTTCGAACAAGGTTATCACCAAAACATTTAAGAATGTTTTTAGAGAACGTTATCCTAACTTTCAGAAGTACGTTCTAGGAACCAAAATAAAACTTCTCGATGAAACCATTCCTAGAACAATGAATGGTAACATTCTCAGAATGTTTTTAGAACCAACAATGTCTAGCTGGGAACTCAGACATGCCTACGCAAACGTGCAATATCATGAATTACGTGCTTGTTTTGATTTTCAAAAGGAAAATGTGGTGACATCAGATTTTTTTTAAACATCCTTTTCAAACAAATGCAACACGTTTGTTTTTTAAAGCGCACCACAAATAAATCTGACGTTGACCATGACCGTGTTAATATTTGCCATCACAGGAACATTTTATAAAAAAAGAATAACCTCCTGAAAACATTTTCAGAATGTTTCTTGGAGAATGTTCTTCTTTGGTTATCAGGTAACATTAAGGGAACGTTTTATAAAGAACATCTTTAATGTGTTACCCCAACAACGTCCAAAACGCATCCTTAGAATGTTGCAGGCAAAACGTTCCAGCTTTGTTAACATATCACATTAAAGGAACGTTTTATAAAATACTTTCTGTCATCTCAGACCTCAATAACATCCTCAGAACATCCTTTGAATGTTGCAGTTAAAACGTTATGTCTTAGTTAACCTTAAACCTTATACTGTAGGAACATAATTTGAAAAATAAACATCTTTGAACATCAGATTAAAACGTTTCTTTCAAATCTTATTAGAACCTTTAGGTAACATTAGCCAAAGTTGTGAGAACGTTCCCCGCTAGCTGGGCTGTAGGGAAACATTTAGTGTGGAAAACATGATCAAATTATCTCTAAGGTAGCCTTAATGCAGTGGAACATGCTAGAAAGCTTGGTGCCCTACCACGTGCAGCTGGTGTCCTTGAATTGTTTTCACCCCAGCCCCTCCGACAGCCTCCAGCCTGTCACACATGCTGCCTGTTGGCCTTTATATTAATTGTTTGCTTCTACACTAATGTTCTGAATGCCATGTATATATCCTTAGTTCATAAACATGTCTATGTATATATGTGTAGGTGTTACGTCCCAACTAGGGGAAGAGGAAAGCAACATACACCAGTTGGAATTGGTAATTGTACATTTAATCGTTTTTGACGAAGAAGAAGTTATTTTAGATAATATATACATCAGTAATTGAGACATCATTTTGTGTCTCCTCCCAGTTCCCCAGCCTCACTCAACCATTAGCGTGTATGAGGGGGTGATGACTGTGCTGCTGCCCTGCCAGTCGTCTAGGTTACCAGAGGACACAAAAGTGGTGTGGAGCCGCTTAGGTTTTAATCCCTCAGCCGTCCACCAGCATCTTGACGAAAATGAGCCCCTTTTTCAAAACCAGCATTACAGCGATCGAACATCTATGGCAGCTGATGCTCTGATAACTGGAGACCTCAACCTCATTCTGAAAGAACCCCAACTCTCTGACAGCGGCGTCTACACCTGCCACGTCCATCAGAATGAAAAGGAAATGTCAATGGTAATCGTGCGCCTGTAGGTTACAGGTAAGGAACAAACCCTAACCCCATTACTCTGTACATACAGGGCAGAGTAAGTTGGACATGGAAGGATTATCAGAACTACTTATTACTTTATTAGAATACAAAACAGGTTTATTTTAAAGGAAGATTTTACATACAGCTCCGGAAAAAATAAGGGACCACTGCAAATGATCAGTTTCTCTGGTTTTACTATTTAAAGGTATGTTTAGTACAATTTTGTTTTTAATGTTATCCTATATACTACTGACAACATTTGTCTGTGTTGGAATTCAACAGATACTGGAATGTAATGGCTGCCATACATCTAGAGATAGATATTTAAGAACAATTTGGAGTGGCCTCTTACATTTGTCCAGAGCTGTATAATAATGTTGCTGTTTGGTGTACAGTAAGAGAAAGTAAAGGATCATGAAAGACTAATTTTGTTGATTTTGTTACCCATAGAACGGCCCGTAGAACGGCCCACATTACCTGAGGTCTTTCTTATCGTGGCTGTTTGCCTTGCTCTGGCTGTTTGCCTTGCTCTGGCTGTTTGCCTTGCTCTGGCTGTTTGCCTTGCTCTGGCTGTAGCTGCCTTGGGTTGGCACACAACCATCACAGGTATGTAGTATGTTGTCACAGGATCTGTTAAGATCACAGTTTGTGTGTTCGTGCTGCTGATGCTGTGGTTTGTTGTCCTCTCAGTCTCTTCTGTAGTGGTGGAAGAGGGGGTGTGGTTTGTCAAGCTTCCTTACAAAACCATAGTCCCTCTGCCTGAAGACGTCACCGTGGAGTGGAGTCGTTGCGCTCCCGAGCCAATGAGGGTCCACGAATATTGTAATGGTAACAACCATCTTGTCAGACAGGATGAGTTTTATTGTGATCGCACAAAGATGCAGATGGAGCCACTGAAAACCAAAGACCTCAGTCTGACCCTCAGGGACCCCTGCTACAGAGACAGTGGAACCTACATCTGCACAGTCCACAAGGACAGAGCAATCTGGACACAGAAAGTAGTACGGCTCCGAGTCAATGGTCAGTATTTTAGATAGCAGACAGTGTAGACTACAGCTGCTAGCATGTTATAGACAGAGATGGGGTCGTTACTAAAAAAAAGTAATATATTACATATTACTTTTTTTTTTAAAGTAATATATTACACTACTTCGTTCTCTACATAAAGTAACTCGTTACTTTACTCGCAGGGCCGGCCCGCCCCTCCCTGCAGGCAGATCACGCAGACTGCTAAAGTTTCAAATGTTCTCTTTAGTTCAGTTTCCATTGTCGCATAAGACTGATCCAGATCCTGAATGTTTTCCTATCTGACCGTGGCTGTCCTCTGTCTCCTGCTATCTGTATATTTTGCGCAGTCTATCTCTGCTCACGCTGTTGCGTCGGCGTGTTCTCCTGCGTGTTGGCCATGTGTTGCACTGGAACCAGACACCGCAAAGACTTCAGCCGAGCACGTACGAACTGCGCATGCGTGAATGGCAATAACTCTCCTTACCAGCAGGCGGCGGTAGTGTGTATTCGTCATTCAAAACAGGCAACAACCGGAAAACAGAGAAGAAGAACAGACTACGTGATATAAACAAACAACAAATGTGTTGTGCTGTGCGTTAGCTTCACCTTAGCATGTGTTCTTTGCAGGTATTTGTTGAGGTTTGATTATGACTGAATTTAGTAAGTAATGAAGTAACGCGTGTCGGGACAATGTTAGTAACTGTAGTGTGATTAATGAATTATAAAAGTAGCGCGTTACACTACTCCATTACCGACAAAAGTAACATTATTACTGTAACGCGTTACAGTAATAATATTACTTTTAACCCAACACTGGTTATAGAGAATGTAACGTCATCAACAGCAAGCTCTTGATTGACCTGTATGCCTACAGCGAGTTAGCATGAACCTGTTTTACTTTAACTTTTTTAACTTGGACGGTAAGAACTATCATGTAGTTTGCTGTAACAGCCAATCCCACAACCATAGGCGCTTCATTAATTGATTCAATTAATAATAATAATACTCTTCTGCTTCAGCGAAGAGCTTCTCTTTGTAAAGGCATTTATCTTTCGCATGTAGTTTATTCAAGAAAGAGAAAAAGCTGATAAATATTGACTGCTGCTGCATTTGCTAGACTCTATCCTCCAAAATGGCCGCACCGCCCCATAATACACCTCGACTCCCCTTCCCAAAGAGTTTTAAATCGGTTTGGTTTCAGTTTAAGATCTATCACCAAAACTAGGCGTTAAGAATTGGGTTGATTATCATGGTTACATTTTAAATAGACATTCCTACTTGCATACATACACTACCACACATTCTGTAACGGCCCATTCTCACCCTTATATTTTATATCATTCTGTAACTGTCACGGTGTGTGAAGCAGGGAACCACAGACAGATTTAAACAAGACACAACGCAGACAGAAACAGGCAAGACAGGAAGTGAAGACCTTTCAACATAAAACAAGACAAGACAAAACACCATAAAGACAGATCGTGACAGTACCCCCCCCTCAAGGGACGGATCCCAGACGTCCCAAAAAACCCCCACAAAAGTCCAAAACCTCAAGCAGGGTGGGTGGAGGGGGTCCGGAGGAGGGACGTATCACTAGGCCACCAGGGTGGGTGAAGGGGGTCAGGAGGACGGGACTGAGCTGACCGCCCAGAGGCACAGCAGAGGACCAGGAAGGGATCTCGGGCGGACGGCCCGGGGGCAAGGTAGAGTTCAAAAAGGGGGATTCGGGCAGACGGCCCGGGGGAAAGGCAGAGTTCAAAAAGGGGGATTCGGGCGGACGGCCCGGGGGCAAGGCAGAGTCTAAGGTGGGGGACTCGGGCGGTCGAGCATGAGGGCAGCGGCAGGAAGAGTCAGGGGGCCGGGATCGTGGGCGAAGACCACGGCTCTCAGGGGGCCGGGCTCGAGGGCGAAGACCACGGCTCACAGAGGGCCGGGATCGAGGGCGAAGACCGCGGCTCTCAGGGGGCCGGGCTCGAGGGCGAAGACCAGAGAGCTCCGGAGGCCAGACAGGAAGGCGCTGACGGGCCAGCGCCGGAGGCCGGGCAGGACCCAGTGTCGGCCGGACAGGAACCGGAGCTGGTGGGACAGGCCTCGGCAGGATCCCCCACGGAAGAGGACAGAGGCTTGGTAGGACCCCCGGCAGGAGAGTAGTTGGCGGGGCCTCCAATGGCACAGGACAAAGGGTTGGCAGGAGAGTAGTCGGCGGGGCCTCCAACGGCACAGGACAAAGGGTTGGCAGGACCCCCGGCAGGATAGTAGACGGCGGGACCTCCAACGAGACAGGACAAAGGGTTGGCAGGACCCCCGGCAGGAGAGTAGACGGCGGGACCTCCAACGGGACAGGACAACGGGTTGGCAGGACCCCCGGCAGGAGAGTAGTCGGCGGGGCCTCCAACGGCACAGGACAAAGGGTTGGCAGGACCCCCGGCAGGACAGTAGTCGGCGGGACCTCCAACGAGACAGGACAAGGAGCTGGTAGGACCCCCGGCAGAGGAGTAGTCGACGGGGCCTCCAACGGGACAGGACATGGAGTTGGCAGGACCCCCAGCGGAACCTCCAACGGACCAGGACATTGGGTAGGGACTTGAGACGTGACTCGAGAGGGGACTCGAGAGGAGACTCGAGAGGGGAACCAAGGGGGAACTCGAGAGGGGACTCGAGAGGGGACTAGAGGAGAGAGGAGGGACTAAAGGAGGGACTAGAGGAGGGACTAGAGAAGGGAACTCGAGAGGGGACTCGCGAGGGGAACTAGAGGAGGGACTAGAGAGGGGACTAAAGGAGGGACTAGAGAGGGGACTAAAGGAGGGACTATAGGAGGGACTAAAGGAGGGAACTCGAGAGGGGACTCGAGAGGGGACTCGAGAGTTGACTAGAAAGGGGACTCGAGAAGGGACTCGAGAGGGGACCTGAGAGGGAACTGGAGAGGGAACTGGAGAGGGAACTGGAGAGGAGACTCGAGAAGGGACTTGAGGAGACTCGAGAGGAGACTGGAGAGAGAACTGGAGAGGGAACTGGAGAGGGGACTGGAGAGGGGACTGGAGAGGGGACTGGAGAGGGGGACTCGAGAGGGGACTCGAGAGGGGACTCGGGTAGGAACTGGAGAGGGGACTCGGGTAGGAACTGGAGAGGGGACTCGGGTAGGAACTGGAGAGGGGACTCGGGTAGGAACTGGAGAGGGGACTTGAGAGGGAACTTGTGTCGGTCGGTACGCCGACAGGACACGGGGAGCTGGTGTCGTCTGGGGAGCCAGCAGGAGACGAGGTGCTGGAGTCGGCCGGTACGCCGACAAGACTCGGGGAACTGGCGTCGGCTGGGGAGCCAGCAGGAGACGAGGTGCTGGAGTCGGCCGGTACGCCGACAAGACTCGGGGAGCTGGTGTTGGCTGGAGAGCCAACAGGAGACGAGGTGCTGGAGTCGGCCGGTACGCCGACAAGACTCGGGGAGATGGCGTCGGCTGGGGAGCCAGCAGGAGACGAGGTGCTGGAGTCGGGACCATGACTGCTGGAGCCGGTACTTGAGCCGGAACCATGGCTGGAACTGGGGCCGGAACCATGGCTGTATGGGCCAGCTCTGGTGCAGGGACCACGGTTGTAAGATCCAGTTCTGGAGCCGGAAACATGGCTGTAAGGTCCGGAGCTGAAGCCTGGATCATGGCTGTGTGGGCCGGTTTTGGAGCCGGAAACATGGCTGCTGGGGCCGACACTGGAGCCGGAACCATGGCTGCTGGGCAAGGAACCGGAACACGGATCCATGGCTGTGTTGGGTGGTACTGGAGCACGGTACCATGGCTATGTGGGATGGTACTGGAGCACGGAACCATGGCTGCTGGCTCCGGCACTGGAGCCGGAACCATGGCTGTTGGGGCCTGTACTGGAGCCGGAACCATGGCTGCTGGGGCTCGGGCTGCTAGCCTGGCCTTGCGACGACTCCTCTTAGCAGCCTCCTGAATACTCCGTGGACCTCCATAAGCCTGACGAGTTCCGGAATACGACTCCTGGACAGGAGCAGGAACTGGGGCAGAAGCACGGGTTGACTTCAGGCGGAACCCACCAAGGCGTATGGCGCCAGGTTGGGAATTGGGAGACAGGGAGCTAGCATGCCTGGAATCACATGCTTGAAGGAAGTCCAAAATCCAGTCAGGTAAAAACTCAACAAAACGTGGTTTCTCTGCTGCCAACCGGAGCGCCTCTACCAGAGCAGCCCTCTTCTGCCGAACACTGGACGCTCCCTTCCACCAATCGAAGCAGCAAGCCAGATAGAAGGTTAAATGCTGTAATTCAACCTCCCATGGATCATCTGCTGGGTCCATTTTGTGGTCGGTTCGTTCTGTCACGGTGTGTGAAGCAGGTAGGACCCAAATGCAGAATAAAGTGACAATTCCTTTATTTCAAGGCTAGGTGAAAACAAAGACAAAACAGAACACTCACCGACGAACAAGTCATGACAAAAGACGAACCGACAAAGACAGACAGAAAAACCAGAACTTAAATACACACAAGACTAATCACAGAAACAAGACACAGGTGAGGAGGGAGGAGGAAACACAGGGACACCAGGTGAACACAATCTGGTAAATTAGACACACCAGGGAAACTAACGACCGGGAACCACAGACAGATTTAAACAAGACACAACGCAGACAGAAACAGGCAAGACAGGAAGTGAAGACCTTTCAACATAAAACATGAAACAAGACAAGACAAAACACCATAAAGACAGATCGTGACAGTAACGGCCCATTCTCACCCTGATCTAG